GAGAGAGAGACTTGCTTTCATAACAAGAAAAATGGTAATGAACCAATGCCATAGCAAAAGTTAATCCACTCATTAGGATAAGGCCCTCATGATATCTCAAAATTGTTGCAATTAGGATTATGTTTTCAACATGAGAACTTTAGGGGACACATTCACACAATAGCATTAAGTCCCTAGCCCCCTGCCAAATTCATATCCTTCTCCTACACAAAATACATTCATTTCACACCAATAGTCCCTAAAGCATAATTCATTGTACTGTCAACTTGAAAGTCCAAAATCCAGACTCTCATCTAAATCACATATGGGTAAGACTCATGACATGATTCATCTTAAGGTGAATTTCCCTTCAACTGTGAGCAGATGAAATTTAATAAATTATCTCCTTCCAAAAAATGATGGGTCAAGCATAGGATAGATGTCCCCATTCTGAAAGGGAGAAGAAGGCAAGATGAAAGGGGTAGTTTACCCCAACTAATTCCAACAGGAAAAACAACAGCAATTCTTCAAGCTAGAGAATAATCTTCCTTGACTATATGACTCACATTGATCACTCTGGGAAGTGTTGCTCTCCTAGGGCTTTTCTGCCATTATGGCTTTGCTGGGCTCAGTTTACCCAGCAGATCTCAGTCTAGTATCTGAGCCTTTCTATTAAGCCAGGCTGGAGTTTCATGTTGGTACCCCTACACTCAAGAGGAAAGAAAATGGAAAGGATCAGCATTCAGATATAAATACATAGAGTGAAATGATGGGGTTAGTGTTCTCTTGACATAAAACTTATGCATTGATTACAGCAGTGAGATTAATGATGTATGATGAGGACATAACACGAGGTAACCAAATGTAATCATTTCAAAGAGACAGAAGAATTTTAAAAGATGGGGTGGTTAGTATTGTTGAAAGCTGCCAGGAAACTGAAATGATGACTAAAAATATTACACTAAATTCAGGAATATTGAGGTTATTGTTAACATTTAAATAATATGGAGACTTGCATGGCTGCTATGACACAAATTACACTTGATTGTGCCAAGAAAGGTAGACTTGGTTGTCTAACAAAAGGTTTGTTAATTTTGTTTATTCTTTCAAAAGATGAGCTCTTTATGTGACTTGACACTTTCCTATTCTTAGGATTCTCTCTCTCTCTCTCTCTCTCTCTTTCTCTCTCTCTCTCTCTCTCCCTCTCCCTCTCCCTCCCTCCCTCTCTTGATAATCAAATCAAAACCAGGATCTTAAGCATGCTATAGGATTCTTGTGCTCTTAATACTTTAGCTTGGTGAGATCTAGTTTGGTTGAAACTAGTTGGTATCCTTTAAGTGCCTTGTATCTGGAATTATCTTTTATCTATTTCCTTTAAGACATTGAAAACCTATTTCACAAAATAATAATCAAAACTTTCCAATGTCTTTTTCCTTTTTTATCTTCTTTAATTCCCATAATTTAAATATTTGTTTGCTCTGTGATGCCCTATATGCCTTTCTTTATTCTTTTCAATGCCTTTTCCCTTTGTTTGCATTTAAAAAAATCTTAGTTAATTCAAAAGACTTGTTCTCAAGTTGAGAAATTCTTCTGCTTTTTCTTGTCTGTTGTAGAAGCTGTTTATTGTATTTTTATCTCATTAATTGAAGTTTTAAGTTCCAAGTTTCTGATTGGCTCTTTTTATGATTTATATCTCTTTGGTCAATCTCTCATTCATATTCTGACCTATTTTTCTCATTTCTTCACATTATCTGTATTCTCTTGCATGTCACTGATTTTTCTTAATAGCATTATTCTTTAGCCATTTTATAGATTTCCTTCCAATTGAGATCTATTTGTGGAGAACTATTAGTTATTTGGAGGTGTCATGCCTCTCTTTGCGTTTCTTATGCCCCTACATTGATGGCTGTGCAATTGTGTAATATTCTCTTCTTCTGATATTATTAGGTACCTTTTGTAAATTTTTTCATTTAGATGGACTGTAGGGTGTCAGTTGGGTAGGTATTTTGGGTTTGATTATAGGGGAACAAAAGTGTTGTCATTGGGTTATTTATTCATGATTGATGGATGTCAGCAGTGTCTATAAATGCCACAATAGTCTGGACTGTGGTGGTCCATGAAAGTAGTTGCAAAATTTCCAGCAAATATAAGCTTCCAAAGTGTGTTTTCTAAGTCTTTAAAGAGATGACCTCTAACAACTTGTGGCTGCAGCTAGCACAGACTTAGTGGTGCAGGATATGGGGAAGGGCTATCCTCAGGTCCCTCAGTACAAGCACAAGTGACACCAAGGTAATATTAACATCAGTCACAGTCCCCAAGACACAGGATTTGAAGACCTTCCCCAGCACTCTCAGGATGAATGCAAGAGATGACTGGGCCTATGGCTCCAGAAGCCATAGTTGTAGAGCCAAAGAATTGGAGGGACCTTTCCCAGGCCCTTGAGATAGGCAGAGGTGATTCTGGGGATTATGGTACTGCTAACTATGGAACACAAAGGGGAACTTCCATAAATCCCTTGGTGCAATTGTGGTTGGTTCTTGGGATTGTAGCACTGTTAGCTACTTTCATGGAGCTGTGGGACCCAGATGGTACCTTCTTCAGGTCCCAAGGGACAAGCAAAAGTGGTATCAGGGCTTTTGGCATCAACATCTGTGGTCCCAAGTCTACAGGCTGTGGAGGAGACTTTCCCTAAGTTACTCAGGGGATATGCAAGTAACTTTCGGACTTCTGACACAGGTATTCACAATCCTGTGGGTGTAGGGCATGGAGAGACCTTCCATAAATCCAATAGGTTGAGCATGGATAATGTTAGGACTGTGGCTTAGGCATTTTAAGTTCTGGAGTTACAGGGTGTGGATGTGAATATCCCTCAGCCACACATGGGAAGCTCTCGTAAGGACAAGGATTGTGGCCTTGGTAGCCACAGTCCTGACTGCAGGGCATGAATGGGACCTTCCCTTGTTCCCTAGGGACAGATGTGGATGATGTTCAGGCTTTTTGTACCAGCACTGCAGTCCCAAGGACATGGGCTGGGAAACGAAAACTTCCCTAGATCCTACTGAGCAAGTACAGGTGTTCTTAGGATTGGAGCCATTGGCAACTGCATTTCTGGAGTGGTGGGATGTACCTGGGACCTTTCCAAGCTCTTGATAAATGGGTACAAGTGAAGCCTTGGTAGCTACAGTCAGAACACTGTGGGTTGGGGGACAGAACTTAACTAGTTCCCAGGGGACACTTGGCTTATGGATATGATAGATATGGGTCTTGAAGTTGAAGGATGCTGAGGAGGCTATCTTCCACTTAGTGAGATGTGTACCAATCCAAGGCTTCTGCCAGTATCTAGGGCCCGCTGCCTGTCTCTAAACAAGATGTCCTCTAGCAGTGGCCGTTTTAGCAGTTCCAGTTCCAGGCACTGGTAAAGCCCAACATGAATTCCTTCTTTGGAACAGAGCAGTCTCTATTTGACCAGCCAGCTTCCCAGACTGTACTTAAAGCCTAGAAGGACTATCAGGTTCTCTTGCAGTTAGGACTGCCTGTCTGCTGCTCTGATTGTGCTTGCTAGTGCTTTCCCACTTAACTTCCCAGCAGTTTCCAACAAGGGGTGGGCGTGAAGTTACAATTCGCTTTATTCTCTTCTCTAGGTTGTCTTGGCAACTCTCTGGGCTGCTTAAAGTTCCCATCACTCACTTGTTGATTTCTAGACTTCTCCCTCAATCATGCTCCTCAAAATATAGTTATTCCCTTGTTGCCCTTGTATTCCTTTGTGGCAAAGTCACACAAGGACACCTGCATTCAGCCATTTTGGCTGCATTCTATCCAGAAAGTTTTGCATGAAGTGTGTGTACTGATTATATCCTAGGGCACTACAGCTAGAGCTTCCCATTTCTGTCTAACACTTGCTTGACCTGTCATGAAATACTTGAAGGTGTAGAAGTCATTTAACCCCACCATGCTTTAATTGATTCAATTATAAAATGAGGAAGATAGTGTCTACTTCATAGAGTTGTTTTAAGGATTAAAAAGGTATGATATATGTAAAACATTAGGAACATTGCTGCCACACTGTTCATTCACTTCTTTGCAAACTATTATCATCATGTTCATTTATTTGTCCCATGGATGCTGATTTTAAAATAGCTCTCAAAATCCCACTGCCACCTTCTATCTGCCTTGGTCCTAGCTATCATCATCTTGTACCTGGTTTATTCTAGTAACCTCCATACCTAGTTTTTCTTCCACTTTTGCCTTCTGGATCAAAATCATTCTCCATACTCTTTTCAGTTGCGTCTCAAAATATATATAGATCCACAATACCATTTCTGAAGCTGTTGAGGCCAGGTATGCATTGAAACCTAAGGATTTGTACTTTAGAAAGTTAGTAGTTTGTTTGGGTGCAGTGCTTCACAGCTGTAATCCCAGCTTCTCAGGAGGCAGTTTGAGACCAGCCTGGACAAAAAGTTAGCAAGACCCTATCTCAATCAATAAGCCAGTCATGGTGGTACACACCTGTGATCCCAGCTACCTGTGAGGCCAAGGATAGGAGGATTGGATCTGAGGCTGGACTTAGGCAAAAGTGTGAGACCCTACTTGAAAAAATAATTAAACCAAAAAAAGGGCTGGGGCATGGATTAAGTGGTGGAATGCCAGTTTAGCATGCGAGAGGCCCTAAGTTCAACCTCAGTCCTGTAAAAAAAGTTAGCAGACCATTTCTAAACTGAACACTTTCAGTAGGATAAAGGCCAATAACTTGTGAATAAATAAAATGTTTTTACATTTCAATCTAGGAATATCCATGCTTATGTTATAACAACAATAAACAGGTTCTATGGCACTTGTATAATAAAAATGGTAATTGAAATAGTGAAATAAATATAGAATAAATTCTAGTCTAATTTTTTAAGAAAAATACTCAGTAATACTTCAAACTTACGTAAGGCTCACATTAAGCTAAAGCTAAGCTAATGCATAACCATACACATTATATCTGATGGCTGGAGGAACTCAGAATTGTAGATACGTCAGGGTCACTACTGTTATCATCAGCAGGCTGAGGTGGACATTCACGGTTTCAATGGATGAGAGTCACACAGGTGAAGCAGCAGGCCCCCAGGTGCCCTGTAAGGACTTTGCAGTGTCCTTGCGGTGTCTCAGCCATGTCTCTGAGGACACCCTGAGGAGGCTGCATTTAACTTCTGGCTCCACCTGAATGCTCATTGTTCAAGGCTACCATGTAAATGATCTATGCCCATCATATCATTTTTTGGGAATGTTTTCATCTGTGCTGTCAAGGTCCCTACTACCATGTTCCTACCACTTAGATTATGCCCATCAGGTGCCTCATTGTCAATGCTCAGTATATTTTATGTCACATTCCTCTGACTTATTTAGATTTTATATGATAAACTTTTATCATATACTGAAAATTATATGATTTTCTTCTCATTAGTGATATGATTGTGTACATAATCTTCATCTGCTAACTTCTTTATAAATATGAGTATTACCTCAAATCTGCACCAAACATTCATTAAAGCTAGTTTATTATTCAATTCAATGTAACAAATAACTTCTTTCAGAAAGCTGTGGATTTTTAGGCCTCTTTTAACTGCAGTAAGCATAGAATTAAAGTATTTATACTCACTTTTTGTGGGACAGGACTCCTTAGTCACAATATTTTAACACAGATGTCATACTGGGAACATTAAAAGTCCAATTTTAACCCATTTTTAGTGAAAATGATACCAAAGTTTATTAGGAAGGAAATTTAATACAATAGAATAATAGTAGGAAGAAGTAGGGGAAAAAGGGAGAAACATTTCCTGTTCCCCATAGAGGAAGGGGGAGCAAAGACTCCCCCAAATTTCACTTTTTGCAAGCAAGTCAGGAGTGTCAGGTGTAGAGCAATTGTATGGAGACAATAGATCCTTTTTCTAAATAAATTTTTATTAAGATATATTCATTTTGCAGGGGGGAATTCATAGTGACAATTTTGATTAGACTTATATTGTACATTGTTTACATTGCCCCCATCGTCTCTCCCCCTCAACCCCCTCCCCACCCCACTTAAAGCAATTGCAAGAGGTTTCTTAAGTCTGTCTCGTATAGGTATATGAAGTCCATCTACCATATACCATCACCTTAATTTTCTTCCTTCTTACAACCAGTTTGCCTATAATAAATTTAAGTCACTGATACAAAAAGTAGTTATTGGCCCAGTTAGACAATATGTCTTTGGTTTTCCATTTTGAAAAAAATAATGCACAATTTAGATATCCTGGATTTTGTCTTTTTCCAGTTACTGCCCTTTTGGTTTGGGCGGAGCATTATCACACCCAAGAATAGTCATGTTTTGGTTAATATCCACATTAGCTTTGATACTCTCTTGTGCATTCTGAATGGATTTTAGTAACTCAATGACTGTGTAGATCTGTCTTTCCCATTAAACACATTTGTTCAGTACAAGAGTTTTCATCAGATAGTATATTGACACATTTTTCAATATAATTTGCAGCTGCCTCATATTTACCACTGACTTTTCCATCACTGAGCTTTTAGATTATTTATACTACTGGTTCTCACTCAGGGTCACCTCCCTTCCAGTTCCCACCAAGGGACATTCAGCAAATTATCTGGTCCTAGGTGTCAATAGTGCAGAAGTTGAAACTTTGGTTTATATTGTACTGCTTTTAAAATTTCTAGACTCATATATTTCATAATTGAATTATTTGTGGTTTGTTTTTGCTTGTTTCCTTACAAAACAAACAAAGCAAAATTAAACATCTGCATAAATTTACCACTTTCTTGTTGAACCAATTCAATCAATGAAAGTTCAAGATCTTCATTTTTCCTTTTTGCACCTTACGCAATGTTTTTCAAGTTTGCATGAGCTCGTGGTTTTCTCTGTTAACTTTCAGTAACTTGCTTTTGTGAGTCATAAGTAGTAAAGACTTCCATGATATTTTTCAGTAAGATGCCTCAAATGTCTATGGCTGTATTCTACATTCTGTACTAATGATAATGTTGGATGCTTGCATTTACTTGTGTCATTTTTAATCACAGGCTTTTTAAACCTCTTTTTGACATTATCTCTGTTCAATTAAATATAAACCAGAATACCATGCTGTGTGTATGTATGTTTCTATATATTGAAACACATGTGACTGGTTGACCCATAAGAGCTCTGAGATGGTTCCTGTTTAAGGAAAGAGTAAGAACTGTGTGCATGAGAGGTTGAGCAATGAATGTCTTTCAGCAGGAGATGGTAAAGGAGACCTTGAGGGACAAATTCTTGTCCAGCTCCTGCATGTGGTCGCTGGCCCAGTGCCAAGGTGGAGTAAGTCCTGAGTAGAGTAGGATCAGAGGAGTTTCTCTGCCCTATGTTGACTCCCTCTGTCTCAGGTAAATAAGAATGAACCTATGGGTGCCAGTAGTTAGGGTGGAGTGGGAGATGTTGCAGGTGAGCCAGTTGAGGGTGTCCTAGTGTCCTGTACTATGTCTCAGATCCCTGGGATTTTGCTCATCACTGAATCTCCTCCCAGGTGATTGGCCTATGACAGACTATGTTTCTGTTTCCACAGCACATTTCCTGGAGCAGTTGAAGGGCGAGTGTCATTTTTCCAATGGGCATGTGAGGAGTGTGACCAGATATGTCTACAACCGTGAAGAGTTTGTTCACTTCGATAGTGATGTGGGAGAGTTTCGTGCTGTGACCGAGCTGGGGAAGCCCATAGCCAAGGAGTTGAATAGTGAGAAGGACGTCCTGGATAATTATCGGGCTTCGGTGGACAGGTGCAGAAATGACTATGCGTTGGTTGATATACTCCTATTAAATCAGAGAGGTGAGCATGGGGTTGGGGGTGGCTAGGGTGCATATGGGAGGTTGTGAGTGTGTATATTTGTGTGTGTGTGAACCCTGGAGGTATCTCTGACCTTTCTGAGGCAAAAATTTCCTGCTTTCTTAGCATGTGTGTTTTTACACCATTGAAATGATTGTGAAACTGGTTTTTGGATTATAACTTTGCTACTTAACATGTTGAGATTGCTAATTTTGCATAATGCTTACAGGGTTTAAGTAGTGACATTCCTTAGACTTTTTTTTTCTTTTCAACAATGGCAAGTAGTTAACAACTTACATCTTTTTAATAGCTATTTCTTTGATTTCTGTGTGTTGAACATTAGTCACATTTATTGGGAATTGTCAGTACTGCTTTAAGAATCATCTATTGACTATAATCTCTATTAATTTTCTTAGTAGTTTATGGGGTTTCTATGCAGTAAGGTTATTAACACTGTTGTATTTGCTTCAGCATTTTCTCCAGTTCATGGTCTATATTTTTATTTTTATTACTTTCTATTCTAAGAATTTAAACATTTTTATTTAATGAAATTTCCTGCAAAATTGTTATTTTATCCTAATCTGTCCTGTGTCACTTTGCAATATTTGGAATTATTTTCACCTAACTTCTCCTTTAAATAAATGCTTTCATTGAGGTTGATAGTATGAGGAATTGCTCTGGTCACTAAGTTCACAAGATCCTGGCCTGGCATCAGGGGTCAGTTTAAAAGAGAGACAGATGTACAATGATAGCAATTCTAATAATAGATATACTTGTTTTGGGAAGGAAAGCGATGCATCAGCTGAGTGTAAATATAAGAAATTTTAAACTTTCCCTTTCCTAGGACTCCTGAGAGTTACTTCTGATTCCCAGGGTAGAACCCTTTCTGAGGCATTTTAAGATTTGTGGGCATTAAGTAGCACGCTTAAGATCCATCCATACTTCTTTGAATTGTATTTTTCTCTCAAAGTAAATAAGGACAATAAATACCTAATACATATTGAGGGCTACATTCCAGTCATTTCTTTACACATTTGGGGTCCATCAATCCTTGTATGACCCTGTTTTATGTCAGTATTAATATCTTCCTTTATAGGTGAGAAAGTTGAGGTACAGAGAAATGTAAAACACTGTTCCAGAATCAACCAGTAAGAGGCAGAGTCCAGATTTAAACCTAAGCCATCCAGAAGTCACACTTTTAATTAGTATACTATATGTTTTGCAAAAATTTAAAAATATTTCATTTGACTAATGAACAATTATTTCAAACTATGATAAAAGCAAAGTTTTCTTCAATATTTGAAATTGAATGGGTTTCCTGCTGTTAGGAAATTGAATGGGTCTCCTGCCAAGCTTTGAGGAGGCCTGCAAAAAGTTTAGCCTGGGGGTGGAGGGAATCAAAAAGACAGGTGACCAAGAAGGATTACTATGCCTTCCTGACTTACTTTCTCTGGCTTTTTCCCCCTAGTTGAGCCTAAGGTGACTGTGTACCCCACAAAGACCCAACCTCTACAGCACCATAACCTGATGGTCTGCTCTGTGAGTGGATTCTACCCAGGTCAGATTGAAGTCAGATGGTTCCAGAATGGTCAGGAGGAGGAGGTTGGGGTTGTGTCCACAGGCCTGATCAAGAATGGAGACTGGACTTTCCAGATCCTGGTGATGTTGGAAACAGTTCCTGAGAGTGGAGAGGTTTATACTTGCCAGGTGGAGCACCCAAGCCTGAAGAACCCTGTCACAGTGGAGTGGAGTGAGTGAGAAGCTTCCTGTCCCTATGAATTCCTTACTTACCATGAAGGACACTTGGCTAAGTGTTGGTTTTTCCTCTCCCTACACAATATTTTCACTTGCTCCATGTTTTACTTTGCATCACTGGCAGTTATCCTGTGATAGTTTATGAAAACACTTTACTCTCTGGGTACGTATTTAAGCCAGCAGCCAACAGGGATGCTCTCCCTGTTTCGACTTTCTCATGATATTATGAGTCCATGTCATTGTGTTGATTCAGCTTGACATGGCCACAGTGATCTTCAGTAGTAATCTCCATGATTGCTCCAGAGTAACACAAGTCAGTTTTTCCTGCATAGTTTCCCAAAAAACTGTTTTCTGTAGAGAAAACCAGGAGAGTGATATGTTCAGCTTTACCACCAGACTCTGGAATCAGGAATGTGCCTGACTCTTTGATATTTGATTAACATAAATCAGGTGCATTTCAACTTGTATGAAGTCACTTTTGTCCTAATCAGTATATGAACCTTTCCTTTTGATCCAAATCATGGCTATCTATTTGTTCTTGGTGCTACCCAGGACCTCACTCTGTCAGTTAATAAATTTCATTCTGTGCAATACTAGATGGATATGCATTTCTTTCTTAGGTCTCATGGCACTTTGGTGCTGGTGCACATTAAGACTGGCTTGTTATGGAACAGTTGTTGAGCTAGCCAGGAGGCTGAGGAAATGGGCAAGGAAAAGGAAGCATCTGCTAGACAAATCCTGGGTTGTCCATATAATTCTATTCAGTTAGAGATGGCCTGTATTAAATGCTTGCAGCCTGCTGTGTGACCATGAGGACACCCTAAAATTGCTGTTGGGTTTTGTAGCAGCTATTTGCTGAATTTCACTTATTCCACTGTGGTAAGGAAGGGCAACATCTTTCTGCTGCAATGGAACGGTCATAGTTGTGGGACATTTGGATGGCCAAAAATGCCCAGCTGGCATCAGAGGAGAAGATAAATGAATTAGAAAAACAGTTTCAACTGGAAAGAGATATGCATCTCTCATTTATCCTCTTGCTGAGAAAGCAGAAAACCAAGAGACCAAGTTTGAAAACCTAGCTTTCTGCTTTGAGTAACTGGAAAAAGAAATGAAAGAGAAAACAGATGCAAGCTATTAACTTTCAATCAGAATTGGTTGCAAAGAATTGGAATCCCTGGGGAGGGGAGAGTGCGGGGAAAACCTAAGATTGAAATGATAGAGGATAACCTCCCCCCTCCTGTGGGGAATCTTGCTTTTTCACTTAAATGTTAATGTAACACAAAACAAAGGCACAAAATATTCAGATGTGGGAAGGAGGCCTCCCCTGCAAGGAACTATGACTCTTTGAAAGTGTACTGCTGAAGAGTTGCTAGATATTGCAAAACCTTTTAAACAACTGCTCTATGAGAGTCTCACAGCCAGAGAAGATGCCATTTCTCTGGTGGGTAATGAAGCTAAGAAAATGGGTAATACTACTACTCACCCAGCCCTTAGGTAGTGCCTCCATTATGCCTACCAGATGAAAGGAAATCACCACCCTGTAGATTGTATCATTGTGGGCATGAGAGAGTCATGGCCAAATGAAGGGAATCTTCCAGAATAGGTATTCCCAGGGGGTACTTGAAGAAGCCCATGGTATTCTTCAGAAATTAGAATTTGACATGTGATTTATATCCAGGTATTTCTTGAGCCCAGTAAATCCATTTTTATGGGCAGAATGAAAAACAAACTGTCACAACATGCCCTTTGAGAATGGTGTGGCTCTTTTCTCTCCATCCTCAGCCCAGTTGTCCTACAGGATGCTTATGATATGGGCAAAGCTATTGCCAACATTGGAGTGCCTGAATGTGGCCAACACAGGGACTTCCCAGTCACAAAACCTGATAGGAAAAAGGGACAAATAAAATGGAAGAGAAAAGAAAGGGGGAGTGGTTCAGACAAGAAAGCAGATGTGACATGATTTTTTTCATGCTAGCATCTCCAAAGAAAAGAGGGAGAAATAACAATGTAATTTTGGTCACCTTATGGAAGGAACATCAGCCTTAAAACAACTCCAACAGTTCCTATTTGACTTTCTAAGAGAGGAAAAGAAAGAATTTTCATACCATAGCATTGCTGGCTATTTCACTTACATGAATAAGGGTCACATCAGAGTAAAGGGCTCTAGGATGTCCAGAGGCTTTATGTGGAACTCACAATTTACTGGTTCTCCATATTTGATACTAATCTTCCTGTCTGAAAACATTCTGGGGATAAATATTCTATTAGGAAAGACATTACAGTCATCTGTGGAAGAATTTAGACTCAAAGTTCAGGTAGTAAAGATAGTGTTGAGGGTGAAGCAAAATGGGACCCAGTTACCCTTCCTGTACCAGGAGCAAAGTAAATACCAAGCATAGAAGCTGCCAGGTGGATATGCTGAGATTGAAGAAACCATGAAAGAATTAGAGTTGTTTAGGTTTTTATGTCTTGCTCATAGCATTCTGCCTAGCCAATGAAAAAGCAGATGTAACTTGGACAGTGACTGAAGACATGCAGAATAATCAGTTTGTTGCCACTTGTAAGGAAAGGCAATGGACATTCCCTCTTATTTTACTAGATTTCATGGTATAGATGATATCATGCTAACTGGAGAAAATAATACTGTTACAGGACACAATAGAATAACTGTCTATGCACCTATATGCAAGAATATGGACTGTCAACCCCAATGAGACACAAGACTCTGGACTGATAATAAAATTCCTAAGGGTGGTGAGTCTGGTTGGATATGACCTATTTGATTCCAGTCCCAGTATGAGACACAGTGTAAATCTTCCTCACCTCCCATACAATGAAAGATGTATAGACTTCCACAGGGCTCTTGGTTTATTAGCTTTCATTCCTATCTAGATCAATGCTTATACCCTCTACTATGGCTGATTCAGAAGGAAGCCACATGCCTGGGATGTACTTGAGAAAGAAGTAGCTGAAAATGCAGATTTCGATAGACCAAGTGCAGGCTCTGGGCACCCCTTTACCAGGTATGCCAATGTAGTCAGAGGTCGCCGGTACCGAAGATGGCATGAGTTGGGTTTTCTGGCAAGAATATGGACAAAGGGTAGGTTTTTCGGTCACAGATCTGTAAGGGAGCTGAAACTAGACACATGCCTCAGAACAGCAGTTTCTAGTAGTAACAATGACCTACTACAGGTGGAGCCAATGACTAAGACTACTGTGCTCAGCATGAACTGATCTCCCTATAAATGGGTGGGTGTATAGCTCAGACACCTACTCTAAATAAGAGGCATGTGTTTACACCACAATGTCCTCTCTACCTTATTGACCCCTGAGCTACAGATGGTGTTGGGCCTGGTTACCTATGAAACTACTCTCCCACCCTAGATGGCCACCCCGCCCAGTGCCTAGGACCTTACAAGTGCAAGATACGGTTGCCCCATACCTGGAAATGCTTGGTGTGCAGGTTAGTCCAGCAGGGGGAACTCAAGTATCTGACTGCTGCTGCAGTACAACTTGCCAATGATTGTATCTGATTTGAGACAGGAGAAAATCAGAGCAGCTAAGGAGAAGGCACCTCTAGGCTTCTGGTCAAAGTGAACATGATCTCTGTTAATCCTGTTGGACTCTAAACCTGAGCTTATGGTTTATTCCCTCTGTATCTCAGAGTGCTACAGTTGGCCCCCTGGTCTGGCATGCCATTTCACCATTGGTTTTAGGAATCACTCATGACTCCATCTTGTTGAACAACATGTGTGTTATGCTCCATCACACCAGCCATCAGCTGCTAGTGTGTCTTTCAGTAAAGATGATGCCACCACTATTGTTTTGCTAGATAATACAGATTTATCTTTACAATACCCCACTAAACATTCATTTTAACAGCAGTATTTTGCTGTTTTCTATGGAACCCATGCTGTTATAAAGACAAATGTGTATATATCCTTGATGTCACATGCCTTATGTCACATATGAAAATCCAAATCAAAGCCTTGTCTGATCCTGTCCCTTGTATAGGGACATTTTAAGTTTGGTTTGGTTCCTGATGAAAGAAATTGATTGTTATTATCATTTTCATAATTGTTCTGTCTCTTTTTGTACATCTGCTTCTGTTGTTGCTGTGGACTTTGCTTACAAATCAGACAGATGGCCTCACAACAAGCTTCCTACACAATGCTAACACCCTCTGTAGGTTCAGGGCATCTCAGAGAGGGGTGGGATATGAGATTGTAAGGGGAGGAATGTGCAGATTCATCTTGACATGATGCAGCCATCTTGAATGGAAGCTGGTATGATTGCCCCATAGTATCCCCAGTCAGTTTTTTCTGTATACATTCCCACAAAACTATAAATAAACAAAATCATTAGGGTGGTGTGAGGAACTTTAAAATTGGATCATGGTACCAGGAATGTGCTGAACTCTTCATACTAAAGATAAATGAGGTACATTCTGGCTTAGATAAAGTCACTTTTGTACTAGCTAACATGTAGTCCCCTCCTTCTGAGCCAAATTGCAGGAATCTTACTTGGTCTTGCTGCCACCAAGGACTACACATCTGTCATTAATTCCCACAATAAATTGTACTCTGCTGGAGTACAATACTAGATCGGCCTGCCTTTTCTCTTTGGTCTTATGGCATCTTGGGATTAGTCCTCAATCCCTCTAGTGGACTACTAGAGCCAGTTTGTTCTGGAGCACTCACCATCTTGCTCCTGGTTCTATACCTGGCTTTTAGGCTATTCTGCTCACTCTGAGTTGTTCTTTGTGACCTGAGAAGATGAGCAACACATGGGGCTTTCCTGACACCCAGGAGGTCCAATCTCAGCTTTGTCTTTTATCCAAGGCAAGCTCCTTGACCTCTCTGGGTCCCAGACTCTTCATATATCAGATGATATTTCAGGGATGTTACATGTAAATAAGTTTAAGGCCTGTATCTTATAGCTACTCAGTGTGATTTTTAAATGTCTAGTCTCAGAAATGAGAAATTCTAGCTCTTCAGATGTATGCTTTTTCTCCCAGCCTTAAAGCTCTGAATCTCTGGGTCTCAATAAAGGAAGTTGGATTTGGGACAAAAATCACTAAGCCTGGCTTCTTCTCCAGAGGTCCAGTCTGGATCTGCACAGAACAAGATGTTGAGTGGAGTCGTGGGCTTTGTGCTAGGTCTGCTCTTCCTTGGGGTCGGGCTGTTCATCTACTTCAGGAACCACAAAGGTAAGGTAAGCAACATCTTGGTGACTAAGACTTATGGTCCATAGATTTTTCTGGGGGAAGAAATATGGCTTTGCCGAGGTTAGTTCTCAGTGTTCCTCTGTGGAGGCTTTCTGTGCTTAGGTGACATCAGATTTTTTGAGAATTCAGAAATCAATAATTTGTGTTTACTATGTTGAAAACTAAGGAGTTATACAGATAGAATTATACAGATAAAAGAAAGGTTAATCAACCTGAGATATTGGTTCAAGAACTTGGAGCAAATGAAGGAGCTTTGTGTGATAGAAGCTTCCTTCGGTAACTGCTCCCAATTCTCTCCCCTCCCTGGTATGGGTAGTGATGTTAGAGAAATCTCAGGTGGCAGGTGTGAAGTTGGGGACATTTCATTCTGTGACAGATCTGCTACCATGTATTTAAGAATCTGTCTTTCCTTCTCTTTCCCAGGATATTCTGGACTTCGGCCAACAGGTAATGTCCTTTAGTCCTCTCTCAGAGATAGATCTGTTTTCCCTACAACAGATAATAGCAGTGACAGGAGATGAGACATAAAAAACAGGAAAGGCTTTGGGCCCAAATTTCTGATCAGGCATTTTGCACTAAACCTTCTTCTCTCTGCTAATACAAGGCCAGTGCTTTGAAGCAGCATTGGCTCAGGGAGATTTGAGCATATTTTTCTCTTCTTACTGCAGTGCTACCATAAGAGGTTCAGAGAGGGGACAAAAAGCCATATTCAGAGTTAAGTCTGGAAACACCATTATGCTCTGTCTTCTGCAGGACTCCTGAGCTGAAGTGAAGGTGACAGCACAGAAGGAAGGACCTCTGTTTCTGCCTCTTCATATCACAAAAACACCTCCTGTTTGACCCTCATTTTTCTACAGAGTGGGTTCCCAGGACCTGGATCCCTCCTGGGTCAGTGCCTTATTTATCATGTCCTCCCTTTGCCCCTGTCCCTGACTCAGAAGCCCCAGTACAGACTGCAGAACCTCCTCTTCCTTCTCTCCTGGCCCCTTTGCATTCAACCCTTGCTGTGTTCTTTGTCTGAACTTCTTTGTGCCACAGGACTTTCTTACATTTTTCCCAAATAAACATGGAGTGAAAAATCATGTAGTTCTAAAGATAAGAAATAGAGAAGAGAAAAGAGAAAGGAAGGATTTGCACCATATTATATGCATGGTTTTTATTTATGTATGGGACATGAGGTAAGGCGTATATTTAATAGGTCAATGTACACCATAAATATATACAATATTTAATTATCAATAAAAGCTTTAAAATATCAGATCAAAATGTAAAGGACAATCTCTAAAAACTCAGAACAGACATAACAATTGAGACAAAAAGCACATGATGGGAGACTAGCTAGGAAAGTAAATCAAATCTTTCTTTGACCCTTGTCTAAATACTGTACAATCAGTATATGGATCTAAATTCCATAAACCTCATTAAAAATGCTATTATAAAGTATCTTGTGTTTCAGAGTCAGACATGTGAATTGGTTGAGAAGACATGCAGTCTACTCTTCCATCTGAGGAGTTAATATCAAATATAAATCAAACCAAAAAAGCAAATAATCAATTCAGAAGTTTATTTCAAAGTAATAATCACTTGGACACAATTTCTCCATAGTCAGCTTATTTTATTTCAAAGCAAGCTTGAAATTCATATTATGAATGTTTTAAGTTACATTATGTATTGTTTGTGCACAGCATATTTTCCCATTGAAATTTGACTAGCTGATAGTGATTTGTTTTTCCCAGCATTGCCATGTTCAGTCTGGCTTTATTTTTCAAAACGTTTCTTATCTAATCTAAGACCTTAGCATTTACATATGAAGTTTAAATATAGTTTGATGATTCCATGTCCTGCTAAATGAATTGGAAGAGGTAAAATGACATAAAACAAGCAAGCACACAAAAAACTTGCCATCGTTTTCAATGACATTTTCCTGAGTACAGATTAGAGAAAACTGAGATCTGTAATACATGTAGTCTTACAGTCCCCAAACTGGGCATTTTCTCCATTTGTTTAGGTCTAGCATGTTTTCCCAGTGATGTTTTATAGTTTTTAGCATAAAAAAACTTCCTAATCTTTTGTTAGCTTTCCCCCTATATTTTTATGTATTTATCATACTATTCTGAGAGGTATCATTTTCTTGATTCCGTTTTTATTTGTTACTGTTAAAGCATGATATAATCCAGCAATGTTATTGATTTCACTTTTATTTGTCTTTAAAAACATGATATGATCCAGCCTTCACAGAGAACCACTGAGAACTAAGGCTATGTATTTGTCTGGCTTTTTACTTTCTAAGTATCTGATCAAATAAAGAGTAAATAATGATAATTTTGCCTTCTTTTATCTATTGTATTGCCATTTTAATTGCTTAACACCACACTTCTAGTACTCCAGATATCAAGGGGAAAGTTTAAAATATTTCACTACTGAGTCTGATGTGTGCAACAGGATAGCTGTCCTTTTATGGATCAGAGAAATTCCTTCTTATTACAACTTCCTAATAGAGCTTTTCTAAAACCAAAGCTTAAAGCCAGGTGCTAAATTCTGTCAAATGGTAGTTTATGATTCTATCTAGGCAGTCATATGCCCTTTTTTCCTTCTTTCAGTTAATGTGATTTGCATTAATTGATTCTCAAATGTGGAAACAAATTTGCATTTCTGAATAAGTTCCATTTTGTCATGATGTGATATCCTTTTTGTAAACCATTGAATTCGGTTTGCTAATATTTTCTTAACAATTTGGCATCTATGTTCCTAAGAGTGATTTTGTTATAGAGTCTGTATCCGATTTTAAGTACAAGGTGGTATGGATTTCATAAAGGTTGTTTTACATTTTTTGAAGTTTGCTTAAATTTAGGTTGTTTCTTCCTTAAAGATTTAAATATAGTTATTGAAGTGAGTTTATCTTGGGTTTTGTTGCATGAAAGACATTTACTTTCTGCATTACAGTTGAAATGTTTCACATTTTATGTTATATGTCAGCTTTATACACGGTATATTTTGAGTAATTTATCCATTACAAATTGATCCTTGTAAAGTAGTTCATCATATTTATTATATTTTGTGCTGTAAGAATATTGTTATCAAATAATGGTGCTGAAGCAAGTGGGTATCCATACCCAGAATTATGCCCACACAGCTACAAAGATGCCAAAAACATACATTGGAAAACTGGATATGCACATGCAGAAGACTGAAAATAGATCCTTATCTCTCACTCTGCAAAAAAATTAATTCAAAATGGATCAAAGACCTTAATGTAAGACCTGAAACTTTGAAACCACTATAGGAAAACAGGGAACCCCCTTAAAGATATGGGTATAGATAACAACTTTCTGCATATAACTTCAATTGCTCAGGAAATAAGAGCAAGTACTGACAAATGAAATTGTATCAAATTTACAGAGAAGGAAACAATTACCAGAATCAAGATACAACCTAAAGAATGGAAGAAAATATTTGCCAGCTATTTATCAGATAAAGGAATAATATCAAGAATATACAAATAGCTCCAAAAATTAAACACCAAAACTTCATTTAATGAATGAACAGGCAGTTCTCAAAAAGAAGAAATACAAATAGTTAATAAATACATGAAGAAATATTTAATATCTTTAGCCATAATGTCAATCCAGTCAGAATGACAGTCATCAAGAAAACAAAACAAATGCTATTGTGGTGGGGGAGCTTCTAGATTACCCTGTTGGTGGGAATGCAAATTAGTGCAGTCACTATGGAAATCAGTATGGAGGTTCCTCAAAAAACTAACAATAAATGTATTTCATGGTGCTGCAATATCACTCCTGGGCATATATATTTAAAGGAATCTAAATCTGCTGCATACAGTCAAGATAGCTGCACATCCATGTTTATAGCAGCACTATTCACAATAGTCACGATATGGAATCAGCCTAGGTGCTCACCAAATGATGAATAGATAAAGAAAATGTGGCATACATGCACAATGGAGTATTATTCAACCATAAGGAAAAATGGAAGTATGTCATGTCATTTGCAGGAAGATGGATGGAACTAGAGACCATTGTGCTAAGTGAAATAAGCCAGATTGAGAAGTATATATAACACATGTTCACTCTCATTTGCAGAATCAAGACCTAAAAAATGAATGATAGGCATATAAAATGGGGAGTGTTTGGGGGCATGGACCAGTGGGAAAGGATAATGGGGAGTGAATATGATGAAAGTATTTTATGCATATATATGAAAAATACAATGAGCCCTCTTAAAATTGTCTAAAAAGGAAAATAGGAAACAATAGTAGAGGGAGTGAATTTCATCAAACTACCCAGTATACATGTATGGAAATATCAGAATGAAATGCCTTTGTATAATTAATATATGCTAATAAAAATAAAAATGAAATAAGTAAAGTACAAAACCCCAAGCCAATCCAAAACTACCAAAAAGAAAGAAAGAAGGGAACTGATAAGTTTCACACTTTATACAAAAATTCACTCAAAATATATGGTGAGGTTAAATGTAAACCATGAAACTCTTTTTTTTTAATTATTCATTTATTCACATGTGCACACATTGTTTGGGTCATTTCTCCTGCCTGCCCCCTTCCCCCACCCTCTCCCCCCTCCCCTCACTTCCAGGCAGAACCTATTCTGCCCTTATCTCTAATTTTGTTGAAGAAAAGACATAAGCTAAAACACAAAAATCTTAAAGAAAATATAGGAGGAAATCTTCAGGTGCGAGGGCTAATGAAGAGTTCTTAAACATCAAAGCAAATATCTGCAAAACAAAAAACACCAAAAATTAGACTTTATAAAAATTAAACTTTTGTTCTATAAAATATCAGTTCCATGAAATATGGTTAAGAAGTGAAAAGGTAAGCTACAGTCAAGGAGGAAATACTTACAAACTACATGTATCACAGGGACATCTGATCTAGAATATGTAAAGAAGCATCAATACTCCACAGTAAAAAACTTTAATTACAAAGTGAGCAAAAGACATAGACATTTTACCAAAGAAGATGTCGATGGCAAATAAGAATATTGAATTATGTACCATCACTAGCCATTAGGGAAATGCCGATTATGAAAATGATGAAGTTATCACTGAACGACTACTAAAACAACTAAAATTTTAAAAACTAGCAATGTCAAATGAGGTGAGAATGGAGAAAACTGCATCTCTCCTTTCTCATGCATTGATGGTGGGAAAATAAAGTAGTGCAGTCTCTCTAGAAAATATTTTGGTAATTTCTTGAAAAATTAAATGTGTATTTGTCACATGACCTAGCAATTATTCTCCAGGACATTTATATCAGAGAACTGAAAACTCATGTTTGCATGAAAACTTATACAAATGTTCATAGTAGCTACATTTGTAGTAGGCCCAAACTAGAAACAGCAAAGATGTCCTTTGATAAGAGACTTAAGTATGGTATGGTATATATGTATATGTGTGTGTGTGTATACATGTATATATATATATATATATGAGACAGAGAATCATTATAATAGTGAGTGAGTGTCTGAGGGGACTATGGAGAAGCAGGAGAGGGTGATAGAGAGTGAATAATATTGGAACACATCGAATCTGTGTATGAAGATAGTATAACAAAATTCACTGAAAGCTATTGAGGAATAGGGGAACAAAGCGATAAAAAGTAAGTAATAGGGAGTTAATCTGATTAAAGTATGATATACTCATGTGTGAAATACTAAGGCAAAGCCCTCTTGAACAATCAATATACACTTAAAAAATGGAAGGACAGGAAGTTAAAACAGGTCCTGTTTAGGGGAGGGTTCTAGTGGGTAGGGAAGGGTAGATGGAGAGGGTGAAGGAGAGTGAATATGGTCAATGTAATTGGAATATGTGTATGAAAATAGAATAATGAAACCTGTTGAAATTGTTCTAAGAAGTGGGCGAGAGGGAATAAGAGAGAATAGTGGAGGGGATGAATCTAATTAAGATACATTGTAAACACGTGTAAATATCACAGCGAACACCCCCCTGTATAACTAATACATGCTAATGAAAAAGTGACTTTCTGACTGAAATTCCAAATCTTCACAACACCAAAGGCTGGCAAGGATGTATCCCAGCAGGACTCTCATTTATTGCTAACACATGTAACATGGTGCAAACACTTTAGAAGACACTCTGGCAACTTGTTAAAAAGCTAAGCCTTCTCTTACAATATGCTCCAGGAATTACACTCCTGTATTTACTCAGAGGAGTGGATGACTTATATCTGCACAAAAACCTGAATGGATGGTTTTAACAGCTTGATTATAATTGCCCTGAATCAGAAGCAACCAAGATACCCTTTTTAAAAATTCATTTATTCGCATATGCATACATTGTTTGGGTCATTTCTCCCCCCTGCCCCCCTCCCCAGCCTCTCCTCCCCACCTCCCCCCACTTCCAGGCAAAACTTGTTCTGCCCTTATCTCTAATGTTTTTGAAATTTTGATAGGAAAGTAGGAAAACCATCATTCAGTGCAGCATTATTTGGCATTCAAGAGAAATAAGTTATCATGCTGTGAAAAGACATGGAAAAAATTTATGTATATACATGCTGCTAAGTGAGAGAAGTCACCCTCAAAAATCTATTTTATGATTGCAATTTATATGATTGAAACATTCTGGAAAAGGCAAAACTATGGAGATTGTAAAGAGATTGGTGGTTGTGAGGGGCTCAGGGGGAGGAGGGAAAGGAAGAATAGGTGGACATCGCATTTTTTATGTCAGTGAGACTTCCTGTGTGATACTATAATGGTATTAGAACACGTAGAACTTTATAACACAGAGTGAACCCTAATGTAACTTGAGTTAATATATATCAATATTGATCAATCAATTGTAACAAATGTACCACATAGTGCAATATGTTAATTATAGGAGAAACCAGATGGTGGGGGGTCGTGCAAGGAAGGGATATGCTAGGATTCCCTGTACTTTTTCTGCATTTTTTATGAACTTTAAACTGCTCTAAAAAATAAAGTATACTAAAAATAGTTTTCTTACATTGGTGAATGAATTTAAATTTATTTACTTTTTTGTTTCATATTTGTCCAAGTTTTAGTGTATTCTCTATTGTATAACTGTTTATTTTGGAATTAATAAATGTAAAAAGATAAAGTACTAGCTGTACCTATTCCATTCTCAATATTCACAGGATTCTGCTTTGATTTTTTTCAATTGGTAGAGAAATCCATTTTCTATTAGTAAATCTAGGTTTGTGCTTGTACAGATATATTTGTTGTGTGTCCCTTAGATTTTTGTCATCAGGCTATAGAAGATTTGAGGAAAACAATGGAATTTACAATTTTTGAAATATTATTATCACTACCTATGCTTCTAATTATTTCACTTGCATTTTCTTTAATTTGCACAATCTAGTAAAAATTAACATCGATATTTTCATGAGGAATCTAAGGCAAAATTAAGGAAGGTGCCAGTGAATGTAAGTTAGTAAATGATGGCGTTGAGATGAAATCCAATCTAGTTCATTTTATTTGTCAGTTGTCACATAGTCATGAATAATAAATGTCTACGGTTGTGTTAGATTCTGGAAAACATTTTAGAAATAAATTTTGTCATAGTTTCATGAACAAATGATAGCTCAATGTATTTAAAATAGTCTTTCCTCTCATTTTAATGCTATGTTCTTTACCCAGTTTTTCCACTCAAGGGTGCATCTTCAAATATAAGATGGTTCCAAGAATAAGTTACATTATTCCTCTGGTAATGAAACAGACAGCGAAGACTATGTCTAACAACGGGTAATGCCAATAGTCAGTGTTCAATTTCATTATGTCTGGAATGGGTGATGTTGATAAACACATATATCCTATAATGTATGTGGTTCCTCTTTCATTCCTCTTCCCACTCTATGCCCATTGATCCCCTCCATCTGTCCCATTATTAAAGATTTGAGATTCACCCTACCGAAGATACAGATATGTCATTGACTTAGAAGCTCTAGTTCCATGTCTTAAAGATACATTCGACAGTCAGACATTTCAAGATGGAAGGACCACATATATTCCTCAGACACCCTCCCCTTCAGAACTGACTCAGCCACTGAAAACTCCACCACAAAATAGTTTATTGTATGTAGAAAAATCATAGTTGGAGAACTCTTAAGCACTAAGCACACAGAAGATTGTCTCCATGCAATGTTCAGAAAGTTCCATAACAGAGACAGAGTCCTATGGGATTTATCCCAGAGGAACTGAATGGTGATAATAAAATGATTGGAAATAGAGGGAAAACATATGCAGGAAGGAGTAATAGACAGTGAAGCTCAGCTGGATGTTAGGACACAGAGAGACTGGGGAAAGCATCACCACTCCTGATGTCTGGGTCTGGGAAGTACCGAGGATGGCTATTTTCACTGAGGTGAACAATTGGAATATTGCCAGCTTCAGAAAGCTTTTTGGTTTTTAATTTTTTTTTTATTGTTGTGCTGGGTGGGGGTACGTTGTGGCATTAACAAAAGTTCTTATAATGTGTCAAATATATCATACTTGAAGCAGAAATTTCTTCATTCATCTTTTCTCTAAGAAAGGGTGTTACCTGTAGTGAGAGACATATAGTTACCAAAGAGTTTAAGATAAATATTCAGAAAACTTTCCTTCAGATTTCATCCCCTTCTCTCTTAATCATTTGACTTTGGAAAAATCTTTAAATATACACCTGACTTCTAGCATACATGACATTTCCAACATGAATTGTAAATCCTACTTTGCAAGGGTCTAGATCATTTTTAGATATCATAGCACTTTGAAGACTGAAGGATTAAAAACAAGCATTGCCCTTTAAGAGATTTACATTTCATTTTATACAATGAATCTACCCCAAGAAGCCAGGCTCTGGAAATGCTTATTTGCTGATGGTCTGCCTCAGGGAATATAAGCCAGGAAGTGCCTACCTCCTGAGACTTACTTTCCCAAATCACTGGGGTACAGTATTCTAACATGTACCAATCATCTTTGGAGCTAGAGATAATTTCCAAGACTGAAGGTATGGCCTAGGAGTATCTATAGAAGGGGATGACAGATCATGAAGCTTTGAAATACCAAATGATGCCAAGGTCTGATTTGTTTTAGCAAAGAAAAATCAAGAGGCACAATTTTTCCTACCCTGGGTATTATTACACGTCTTTTCTCCCCGCTGTTTTCCTCCCTCAGATACCTCCATATATGTTTCTTTGACCATGCCTCACCCACCTCCATGTGTCTCACAGAGGGCCTCGTCGTTGTGAAGCATTGCCTCTGTGTACACCCTTGATGATGAAGACAGTTCCAGTAATGATGCCCACCAGACCCACAATCAGGCCCAGGGCACACACCACATTCTCTGTAGTTTCTGGGAGAGGACTTCGCTCATCAAACTCTGGGGGAAAAATAAAACAGTAGATATAAATGTGTCAGGGGACATTTAGGACCAAATGTATTCAAACTATAGTTATTAATAGATTAAAGAAGAGGAAGACAGAATGATGTATCAAGGGATTAAAAAGTGGAGAAGGCTGGGTAATGGAAGAACACACGTATATGAATTACAGCTGAATTCTGAGGGTCGAGACACAAGCATCATAGTGGAAAATCTTAAAGAGGACTGAAGGATGTTCCATACCCCAGTGCTTGAGAAGAGGTTCATCAAAGCCCCAGTGCTCCACCTTGCAGTCATAGACATCTTCATTGGAGGGCACGAAGGGGAGATAGTGGAATTTGCGGAAAAGATGGTCTTTCCTGGGTAGGAAGACTGTTTCTGACACTCCTGTGGTGACAGGTTGTCCATTTCGAAGCCAGGTGACATTGACCACAGGAGGGGAGAATTTGTCGATGAAACAAATGAGGACATTAGGCTCCCCCAGTTCCACGGGGCTGTCAGAGAGCACAGTCACTTCTGGAGGAACTAAAGGATACATGACAAAAATTAACTTTCATTCGTTAGGCTTGCTCCTTTCCTCCTTTCCCTCCCACATTGACTTATGGTACAAATCTATCTAATGCCTCTAAGGCTAAGAACAGCAGTTGAAATTATGCCCTGTGAAGTCCATGCCACCTTCTCCCATATCTCACTCTGATACTCTAGATCCAATATCAAGGTATAAGATTGCCTTAAGGACTTAATTTCTTGCTTCCCCAGTGGACTTAGGGCAGTGACTTTTTTGAGTGTTCATAGATAACAGAAACAAGACTTGAGCACATCAAGGGAGGGCACAAAGTTACAAAAGTCTCTGGCATATGGCATGAGAATTTAGGGTTTGCTTGTGGTAAGGTAGACCTCTGGGAGGAAAAGTCACAATGATATCACACAAAATGCTTAAGTGTCTATTTTAAAGCTTTGCATTCCCACAACTAAGAATGAGCAGAGAGAAAGGTACCGTTGGTATTTGGAGTGTGGTTGGAGCGCTTTATCATGATGTCCAGGTTGGCTTTGTCCACAGCTATATTGGCCAAGGCACCCTGAGCCTCAAAGCTGGCAAACTGTCCAAATTCTTTTAGCCTCCATACTGTCTCCTGCTTTCCCAAATCCACATGAAAAATCTCATCTCCATCAAAATCAAACATAAACTCTCCTGATTGGTCAGGTGACAGATAGAACTCCGCCTGGATGATGGTATGTTCCTCTGAAAAGACAGGAAAAGGAGGGAGGGAATCAGGAGAGGAAGATGAAGAAGAAACCACATGCATTTCGGCAGGAGGTAATAGGGACTGGGACAAGTGGAACAGAGGAGGATAGAGCATTGGGATGGGTGAAAAATGATGTCTGAGTGATGGACATCTGCATTGAGCAAAGCTGTGAGGTAAAAAAATAAGGGGGGCTAGGATTAGGACTGAAGGAGATGAGAGCTGAAAAATCCAGAGTCTTGTGAAGCTATTAATTGGTTCAAGGTTGCTAACTTGGAAATTATTTATCTTTTAGTAGTTCAGCAGCAGCCCCTAAAATGGCAATGTTCTCTCACTCTCTTTTACCCAGGTGTTAAATACTTTTCCACCAGAACTACAGAGCATCTCTTGCTCCCAATATTTTATTTTTAGAAGAGAAAAACATTGTTTCAAAAATTGAGTTGTGAACTGTGAATCAAATAAATCTAGAATTCTTACCCAGTTATTTACCTAGTGATCTAGAGCAGATCATTCTATCTACTTATGTGTGATTTTCCAATTATAGAGCTGCTATGATTTTGATTCTACTGTGGGTTTGAGATAAGGTAAGTAATTTCTTAGTATATCAACAGCCCTCTAACAAGCAATGTTCATATTGTATTTAAGGACTATATCCATGGACAAATAACTGGGGCCTGAGGCACCCAGGAAATTAAGATCTTAATCTTAAGACCTTATAGTATTTTAGAGCACCTATTTCCCTAGATCCCAAACCACACCATGCCAAAATTTTAGCTACATGTATTCAGCTAAGAACAGTGCTAAGAACTGCTCATGTTTTTTTCTCATTTACTATTAACAGAATTATAGTGAGGTTTCAAATTTTTAACTTCATCAATATTCCAGAAAGAAAATTAAAGTGCAAAGATAGAACTTGATAATGCCCATCACAAAATATTTCCCTCACTCCTTGCAAATTTGACTTACAGCAAGTCAGTGGTATTTATTAAAACCCAACTCAATTTTTTCCCACTAAACTAAATTTGACTTACTTTGTTTTATGAGGAGGAAAGGACTCCTCCAAAGTACAATTTTTATAGTTTCAGATTTAGACCCACATACTGCCTGTCACTTTTCTTTCACTCCAAAGATTATCTTGCAAATACATATAATTCTTTTCTCCAAAGCTTCATCCTGTCCTAGTTTTGATTGTCTTAGCACCTACCTTTGATAGCCCATGACTCCTGAAGGCTCATCAGGACAGCCATGAAGAAAAATCCTAACATCGGGACTCCATTTAAAGCCATTTCTTCTTGTGTATTTGGATGGGGACCAGAAGAAATCACAAGTGAATCAGACTAGAAAAGAATAAAAGAAAAGAGGACTCAAATTCAAATCAGTTGCACTGCAACCAATCAGAAAAGTCTTTTGAGATGACACATCTGTTGCTAGGGAAAGAGTTCTTGTAAAGGAACCAGATTAGGACATATGTTTAACATTAGACTCTCCACTTATTTATTATTTCAAGAAGCAAATTTCTTCAAGAAGTAAATTTTTAAGCAAATGAATGGGACAAAAAAAATCATGTATGAAATGGAAAAAATGAGACCAGGAGTGGGGAAAGGGGAGAATGATGGAGGGAGTGAATTCAACTATGATATATTGTATGAACTTTTGTAAATGTTACAGTGTACCCCCAGTACAAAAATAATACTATAATAAAAACATAAAGAAAGAAAAAAATCAAGTTTTTGAGAATGCTGTTTAATCACTCCCATACTTTTACATCCCAATCCAAGTTCTGGAGAGAGATATAACTAAAGTACATTAATGAGAATAAGTCAATGAAACATCCTAAAGTGAGAGCTAAATACAGATCATGCCTATGGGATGAGATAGCAGAGAAGAGTTCTTTTTTTTAATTTTTCTTTTTTTAAGAGACAATGACTTAACAAAAGAGAAGCTAAACTGTCAGGCCATACAGAATGCCTCAATTTTGGCAGTATTTCAGTAGCAGCTTTACTTAAGAATCTCCTTATTTGGCTGGGCCTAGTGGTTCATGCCTATAATCTCAGCTACTTGGGATGTAGAGATAAGGAAGATGGGAGTTTGAGGCCAGGCCAGACAAAAGTTACTGAGACCCCTCTCAAGAATAAGCTAGAAGTAGTGGTGCATGCCTATCATGCCACCACATGGGAGGCCTAAATAGGATGGCAGTCCAGGCTAGCCTGAGCAAAACAATACCAGAAAACAAGACCCTATTCAAAACAGAGCTAAAGCAAAAAGAACTGGGGGTGTGCTCAAGTGGTGGAGCACCTGCCTAGCAAGTGTGAAGCTCTGAGTTCAAACCCCAATACCTCACAAAAACAGACTTGAAAACCAGTGGAATAGATTAGAAGACCTAGATATGAATCCACACAGCTACCCCCACCTAATTTTTGATGAAGGTGCCAGAAACATATGATAGAGAAAAGACAGACTCTTCAACAAATGTTTCAGGAAGAACTGAATATCTGTATATAGAAAACTGCAAGTAGATTCATATCTTTCATCCTGTACAAGTATCAACTCAAAGTAGATTAAAGACCCTAATATAAGACCTGAAACTTTGAAGCTAGTGTGGGAAAGAACTGGGAATACACTGGAACTTATATGTATAGGCAATAACTTCCTAAATAGAACTCAAATGGCTCAACAACTAAGAGAAAGGATTGACAAAGGGGACTGTATGAAATTTAAAAATCTCCTACACAACAAAAGACATGGTTACCAGATTAAAGAGGCCACCCACAGAATGGGAGAAAATCTTTGCCAGTTATACATCTGACAAGGGATTAGTAACCAGAATACAGGGAGCTCAAAAACTAAACTCCCCAAATCAATGAAGAAATGGGTAAATGAACTGAACAGAGCTTTTTCGAAGGAAGAAATCCAAATGGCCAAAAACCACATGAAGAAATATTCAACATCCTTGGTCATAAAGGAAATGCAAATCAAAACTACATTAAGATTCCACCTCGCTTCTGTTAGAATAGCTATCATGAAGAACACAAACGACAACAAATATTGGCAAGGATATGGGGAAAAAAGAACCCTCATACAATGTTGGTGGGAATGTAAATTAGCACAACCACTATGGTCAACAGTCTCCTCAAAAAACTAAAAATAGAACTGCCATATGATCCAGCAATACCACTCTTAGGATATACCCGAAGGAATATGTCAAGTTAAAATAAACACACCTGCACACCCATGTTATTGCATAATTATTCACAATAGCTAAGCTATGGAAACAGCCAAGATGCCCCACAAATGATGAATGAATTAACAAAATGTAGTATTTATATAATGGAATTTTATTTAGTCATAAAGAAGAATGAAATTTTTTCATTTGCAGGTAAATGAGTGGAACTGGAGAACATCATATTAAGTGGAATTAGGCAGGTTCAGAAAGTCAAAAGCTGCATGTTTTCTCTCATATGTGCAATATAGGCCCAATACAAAGATAAGCAATATTATGAAAAATAGGTTCACACTAAGGGGAGGTCACTAATGGAGAGGGAGGGTAAAAGAAGGAAGTTAAGGGAGTGAACATGTTGATGTACTTTCTTTACAAGTACAAATATAGAATTTTTAAACCTGTCAAAATCACCATAAAAGGGGAGCCAAAGAAAAAAGGAGAAAAATAGAGTGGATAAACTAATTCAGGTTATGATACATATACATGTAAATGTCACAGTGAAACTCTCTGTATAACTGTCTTATACAAACAAAAATGTCTTTGTTTTAAAAACAAAGAGCAGGAAGGTAAAACAGGTCCTGCCTGGGGTTTAGCACCAGTGGGAGGGGAAGGGTGTAGGAAGGTGAATATGCTGGAAATATTATGTACTCATTGTGAAGTGGAAAAATGAGACCCATTTTGAAACTATTTCAGGAATAGGGGAAGAGGGATAAAGGAGAATGATAAAGGGGATAATTTCAACTATGATATTTTGTAAGAATTTTTGTAAATGTCACAATATAGAACAATTTTCTTTTCTTAAAAAAGAGTCTGACTTCATGCCTAGGACAGCCTGGACCATGATCCCCACATTTGTACTTCCCTACGTGTGTGGGATGACAGGCTTACACCACCATACTAGCTCAGTTGTTTAAGATGGGGATTCATGAACATTTTTGCCTGGGCTGCCCTCAAACTGCCATCCTTTCAATCTTCATCTCCCAAGTAGCTAGGATTTTAGGCTTGAGCCACTATGCCTTGCTTTTGCTACTTTTTTTTTAATAGATCAAATATTATATATGCTTGGCTTTGTACCTGGGCTCTCTATTGAATCACTTGCTCTGTTTATTTCTCACTGAAACTACAGTATCTATTACTATAGCTCTAATAAGTCTTGATACATGGTAATGATAATCCATTTACTTATTCTTTAGGAACATTGTGAACTGCTTTTGTTATCTTATTGCCATGTAAAGTTTGGAATCATTTATACCCATCTGCTACACATGAAAAAATAAAAACCTTGGAAATTTGGTTGGGATTACATTCTATCTATAGGCCTAATTTGGAAAGATCAACCTCTTTATGAAATTGAGTCTTACTATCCTTGAATATAGTATACCTCTAAAAGTTTCTGGTCATCATTAATATCTTTAAATAAATATTATATATATATATATATATATATATATATATTTAAAACAAACCCCAGTACCACACACATGCATGCATACACAAATCTCCATATTGCTTCATCTTCTCCTCCAGTGTACTAGATCCCAAGACATACAACTCAGCCCAAGATCTCAGAATGCTTGGCATTATGCTATCTGCTACAGGATAAAGAGATTCTCCTGAGGGACACACCTTGTTTGGGAACACAGATCAGTAACAGTGAATAAATGGGGCAGAGCTTGTACTGGGAATGTGGAAGTTAATAACCCACAGGAGGACATTACCAGTCCTCCTCTCATATCAATAGATTATGAAAGCCTTTCTCCATCATACAACCATTAAAGTTCTAAGCCAAACATTATAGTTTGATGTTCTCCATAGAGAATACTGAAAGTTCAGAGTTTCTGAATCTCCTATTTCTGAAAATAGGGTGCAATAGAAAGGAAAATGTTAAACTGCACCTAGAAAGGACTACAATCCCAATGCTTCCAGTGAAGAGTCACCTGGCAGTGATGCAGCCTTTCAGATGGGGAGTCCATCATTTAGTGTTGGTCATGACACCACTGCTGAGGGTGGATTTTTAACTGTTGTGCCTTATCTTATGTCTTATCCTTCTACACAACTACCCTCACAAATTAGGAGGGAAAACATCCTATACACTGATCTCATCAAAGGGCTTTCAACATCTTCTGATATTAACTCTTACATTGCTAAGAGGAAACCATAGCTGTCCCAAACTTGTTTAGGTATACATTTCATGGAGGCAGTGGAATGGTCCAGATGATGGTCCTGCAGGATTAGACTGTGCTGAGATGCTGGGCCTATGATTTAGGCTTTTATTTCCCCATCTTTTAGAGACAAAACTAAGTAGTATAGTTTTTTGGTCTACCTTTACTGCCATAGTGTCTTGTTGTTAAAATGTGCTTAATAAATGCATGGCAGTTTTAAAGACATTTTACATCATAAAGGCACCTTCAACCCAAAATGTTGCTCAGTAACTTATGATATTGTTCAGTACTCAACCACTGATTGGTTCTACTTGTGATGTTAGAAAAGACTTTCTGTTCCTCTTTTCTGTGGTAGGAAAGAAGTTCCTACTAGGTTAGCATTCATGGTTTCCTGTTCTCCCAAACTCTAGCTTTCTGTATGTTTCAGGGGATTTCTGAAGGCACCTGAATGACGTCGTCTTAGTGGCATTAAATGGTGAAGAGCTGCTGCACTGGTCAGAGGGTCAGGAAATAGAAATCAGTCGCAGAGTAAGTTGAGGACTTCCCACTAGAAGTGCTGAAGGGATATTATCTAGGCATTTCCTTCCCAACTCATGACACAAGAAAATTTTCTTGCTCTGTGTTACTTCTCCTAAGAGGGGCATAAGCTAGCCACTGAAATATAGCTCTATCAGAATGAAAACTGTGAATTGTTGATATGAGCAAATGTGCCAGGGTGGTGGGTTAAAGGGCTCTCCTAGCATGTCCTGTGTGAACAAAGGATACCATGTTCATGGGGTTCGTCCTTAACTTGGGTGGATGACAGGTTGAAAGTTTGATTCATTGTTTGAATGAATCCACCTGAAACCTGATATTTTAAAGATCTGAGTTTAAACATAAGGAAATTAAACCTTTTCTCTTGGGTAGTCTTTGTAAATAAGGAAATGCTAGGGTGTGTGCGCGTGCATGCACACATGTGAATATTTAG